ATAATGCTATTATATTAGTTAATAGAATAGTAATGTACGACTGTTTAAAATTTTTTTTCCATGCCCCATTTTTCTCTAGATGGGTCAGGCAATGGGCGTTTGACTATACAGCTTAGTCTTATTTTACAAACGATTTAAAAAAATATATTAAATGAATAGTTTTTTTATTATTTGATTATATATTTTTTTGCTAGTAATAGCAATAAGAAATTAAGTCTATAATAAAAAAGTATTTTCGCGGATATAATTCCTAATGGGGTAGTCAGAAACATTTTGTCAATACTGTGGTGAATATAGCATTCAACATGTCTAAATATTTTTTACAATCCAACGTTATCTATTATTTAGCTAACAATTCTACCATAGATAAAAGAATAGTTCTTTTTTACTTTTTCAATGGTTCTACTACGTTACCATTTTACGCACAAACCGCCCCCATTTAATTTATTCATCATTAAAAAAAAATAAAAATGTAATCCATAGGCATTATTGGCATTATAATAATTATTCCTATTCATACATAATTAATTAGAATAAAAAAATATAACTGTCAAATGCCAACATGGCCGCTCATTAAGGCGACGCACAGATAATAAAGCTATTAATGTCAGAGTAAGGTAATTTATGAAATGTCGGTTGTAATAAAATTTACATAAGCAGGAGATGGATTTCTAGATGGATTTTGCTAGTTTATGTTCAACATGGGCGTGTAGAATGGCCAACTAGTCGGCATGGACAATGTCGATACTGCGGGAGATAGAGACTCTTGAAATAAATTCCAATAGATCGATATTGGAATTGAGACGTTTCGCACTCTCGAATTGTAGCAATAGCGACTTCATTAATTAATTAATTTATTTTTAGGAAAACGCAACCTCTTTTAATTAATACAAAGTCAAATTATTTATTTATTTACACTTTATTGCACCATTTATAAAATAGTAAATACATTTAACTGTAATAGGAAATGGTACAAAAGGAGGCCTTATCGCTAAGCAATCTATGTTGAGTATTTACATATATATGTATAAAGGAATGTTGCGTTGGTTTGGTCATTTAGAGAGGATGGATGAAAGAAGAATTACGAAAGAGATTTATCGAGCAAGAATGAATGGAGATGTCGGTAGGGGCTGCCCTAGACGGACGTATGTCGACCAAATAGGCGACGTGCTGAAGAAGGGCCAAATTAAAAGTACCCGTAACCGACGAGCGTGTATGACAAGATTGATGAATGTGGAAGAAGCGAAAGAGGTTTGTTTGAATCGAAGCATTTGGCGTTCCATTGTTTCTGCCTACCCTAATGGGAGACAGGCGTGACAGATATGTATGTATGTATGTATGTATGTATAAAATATTAATTATTAATTATTTCGACCATTATTCGTCCACTGCTGGACATAAGTCTCCCTCATAGTCTGCCATAAAGAACGGTCTTGAGACACCTGCAATGCATTTGAGGTCGTCACTCCATCAAGTGGGGGCACGTCCTATACTGCTTTTGCTCTTACGTGGTAGTCACTCAAGAACCATCGGTTGTCGATTCTTTGAGCTATGTGACCAGCCCACTGCCACTTCAGATTGCTTATCCTTTGGGCTATGTCGGTTACGTTGGTTCTTATTTATGACAATTTTGTACTGTACTTATGAAACAACTGTTAAGAAATAGGTTAAAATTAGGATTGTAATAATTTGTATTAGCAAATTACACTAATATGCATCCATTAGAACAATATAAAGTACATTACTGCAGCGGCCAGCAACTGAGGCATTGATGGACTAACGTGCAATTGTGGGCCGAGGCGTAGCCGCGGCACACATACGTGAGTCCATCGTATAGTACTTTTGTCAAACAATGCGCGGAAATCAAAAACACAATTTTACTTTTTAAGTTCAATGACGAATAACAAATTATAATTTTTCACGCGCCATAATGTTCCTTTGTTTTTTTTTTTCAATAAACAGCTTTCTATTTGCAAGCCAATTCTTTTTATTAGTTACCTCCTTGGTAGCCATGTTTCGAAGTAAAAGGTCATTCCATTTTTAAATTACAGGACAGATATGAGTTTACGTAGTATTTTATCTGGCCGCAAAACACGACAGATATGGATTTTCATATAACTTTTGCCGGCCGCTGCCCGCATGTATCTGGCCAGTACGGCAATTTTGATTTATCTCTGAGAAAATTTTCAAAATAATGCTCACATTTCCAAGCATGTTTGAGAAAGAAATATATAATTAAAAAAAAATTCAATTGTTTTTGAATATTGACAGATAATAACGACAGTGCTGCCCTCTAGATGAATGGAGGCTCTTTAGTTCTATGGAAACGAACTTGCTCGACATCCTTTAAGTTCGTGTGTACGGTACAAATTCCAAACAACATTATACCGAGTATAAATTTGCACATAATATTTATAGAGTAATAAGTATTATGTTACAGTAGATTTGGGTTAACTTACCCATTTAGACTAGTCTTTTCACGCGTCGTCGCACACGGATAATTGTTTCTAATGTTTAGAATTTGATTTTTTTATATGTTTATTTGTTTTAATGTAGTAACTACCGGTTTGATTTACGTGCCATTAGATCGAGAAAGTTCGACTGGTTTCGGGAACAATTCGTGACCCTTAATCATGAGCAGCTGTAACGCGAGCATGGGCCTGACTGATTGTTTATTTTTGTGTAATTGGTAAAATCAAAAACTACTTAATACTCCTAGATTTCAAAAATATCTTTCACATGTTATAGAGAGACAGTAATATAGGTTATTGCAAGATGAGGCAGTTTAAATTGCTGCATTACCAAAATAATTACCAAATACTACTATGACTCGTGAGAAGGTGTCGCCCTCTGGTGGCAAGTGTTTCCAGGCCGCCTGTGTTGTACACGAATAGACTTATAATATGTTTAGGTTTTTAAATTATTTAAAATAGCCGCCATATTAATTACTACATGTAATTAACTATATAATGTATGTATATTTATAATGTATAAAAAAAAGTTCTAAATACAAATGTAAAATTCGACTAAATCGGGGAAATTTTGAATCCAATTAAAAAAAATAATCAGCGGACGTTTTTGATGGATCGATGTTCTATTTATCAAATCTGCAACACTGGAAAAAACTGTACTAATCTTGCTGAATGCTATGCACCGAATAAAGGCCAACCTATCAAAATTACAAAGTAAAATTCATTAAATCTCTTATAAAAAAAATACAAACACACTTTATTGGCCGCAATCGGTTAAGCCACCAACGAAGTCCATAATGAAGACATTTGCTCTGAACAACTGACCATTATTACTGTTTAACAGATAAACAACCTGGCACTGTACGCCATACGAATTAATACTCTCTACTATAATAATTATAAAGTCGATATTCCATTAAAAACAACACCTATTTTTAATTCCAGCTTTACAAAAATTTTAATTCCGAACGTTCGCATTCGAAATTCGAATTTTTAAAAGTTAACACGGTCGATTGTTAATTTTGTTTCATAAAGATTATTTAAAAGTTGTATTTCTTTGAAAATTATGTTAGACTTTCCGAGTATGAGACGGCGATATAAGCTCTAGGATTTTCAACTTTATTTCTTAAACGGTACGGGTCGTATTTGTTCGCTCGACAATACGCTAATAAATTGAAATAATTGCAATTCACAGATGACGATTCTCGACTTTATCGCTATGTTATTAGAGTGTGTTATTGTATTTTTTTTTATTTCGTTTTATTAATTACCTATAAGTGGTAATTGGAGGCTGTTTATTTAGACCCATCGTGGTTTTATGGGTTATGGCTCATAAGTGCGGTGGCTTCAAAGGGTAGTCGGTTCAAACCGGAAGCTACGATTATGATTGTAAAATGTAAATTTAGACCCGGAACCGGAAGGTTGTAATTTTATGGGAGAATAGGTACGAGATTTGTTATGTAATTGACAAGATAGATAAAATGTTAGTTATTGGGGACTTTTTTTTGAATGGATGATAATGGAATGGTAACCCCGCCTGCGCTATCGATATACACTGGCGGGGCACCAGTGAAGGGTGATAGGTGAGGACAACTAACAATCCTTTGCCCCTATCCAGTTAGTTTACGTATATTTCAGTTGATTTAAATAGTCTGTATATCAACAATACAAGGTGGGGGGTTTGTTAGTAATGGAGACTGAGAATCCCATTGCTAGCAATATACCCAACCAGGTCGACCTCCTCGCGGTTCCCCCTGGAAACTATCATGGTTAATTCCTGATGAATTCATCATGATAGGCTAACTGGCTTGTTTTCATTCTCACCTATCACCCTTCACTGGTGCTCCGCCAGCGTATCCCGTTAGCGCAGGCGGGGTTACCATACGATTTTCACCCATCAAAAAATAATACAGGTACCGGTTCTATGGTGCCCATTATAATTACCATGTAATGTCTTAATTTAGCGATAGTGAACTCATGGGTGGTCCTCACTCCATCGATGGCGTAACGTATCATTGACATACCTCTCTTATGCGGTTTTTAATTAAACACCACTAGCTTTCACCCGTGACTTCGTCCGTGTGACCGGAATAAAAAGTAGCCTATATTCTTCTGCAGACCAAATAATTTTTATACAATTTAGAATGGCAAACAAGCTGACGGCCCACCTGATGGAAAGTGGTAACCGTCGCCTATAGACATGAGCAGTACCGTGGACATAACAGAGTATACTGTTTCGCTCATGATACCCCCATGCGTTGCCATTCCTGAGGACTCAGGTGTTATTCCTCTGTACCCTGTAAATTCACTGCCATAGCCCACCCTTTAAACCGAAACACAGCCATGCAAACACAACTGCTTCACGGTAGAAACACGAATGGAACAGAGGTGGCCAAGCAAATGACTTTTGTACAAATTCTCCCACTGGTGACGTATGTTTTTTTTTTTTATTTTATAGTTTTTAATTTTGAATGTAATATTTAGTTTATGTGTATGTGTATCTAATATTTTTCTTCTCTTTTGTTATAGGACGAAGTAAGTACGGGACCGGCTCACGGCTACCACGTGAGGATATTCCATTTATTTATTTTTTTTATTTTACAAAAATAATAATATAGATAGATATATAGCCTTTATTACCTTTATTAAGAAAATAAAAATTAAAACAACAAAAAAAAACAAAGTTGCTGGTTGCTGGAGCCGCCTCAGCTGTTGCTATATATGTACAGCTCCAGCGAGATGTACCTATATAGCGCTGATTTTCAGGCGGCCCCTTAACTCATTTATCTTTAGCATGCGTGCGGGTCGCCAATACCTATTTCCTATTCCTATATAAATATTACTTTATTCAGTTATAGTTAAAATGGGTATATCTAAAATGGGTATATTAAAATGGGTAAATCTGTCATAATCCCCCATGGTAGGTGCCATGCGTGACACAGTATATTCCGTAATGATTAAAAATTGACAAAGTTGAGTGCGTGACTACATACTGGCCAGTTTTGTCTATGGTCTTATGACAGATTGCAGACTTAAATTACTCTGTGAAGCTGTCAGATTTTAAGACGTTCATAAATACAGCTTACCAAAGTGCGGAAACGTCGCAATTACGGGCGTAAACACTCATAATAAGAGGATGAGTAATATATAGTAATATCTATATATTTCAGTTACAATATCTATATAGTGGTCCAATAACGAATATGTTAAAAGTCTGTTATCCAAAAAATAATATTGGATAACAGACTTTTAACATATTCGAAAATAGATATCCGACCGATATGGGCGATATCGAAATGGGCGATGACCTTTTTCCCGCCATCAATGTACAGACGGTATTCTGGATTGTGTCCTCAGATGTTTGTTGCCAGGTGCCTCATAACACATGGTATCCTGGCTTGAGGAGCAGGCGAATCAAACCGTGATTAAGTGTCATTTATTATTATTGATAAATGACGACGATACAGCCGTTAACTGTCCGCTGCTGAACATAGGCTTCCCCCATAATGGGGGGGGGGGGTTGCCAATAGTTGCCACAACTGACCGGTTGGCAATTACAGTTAGGCTTTACAGATGTTTTAAGAGGGACGCTGCTGCCCATCCCTCGCCCTCCCTTAGTCGCCTCTTACGACACCCACGGGAAAGGAAGGGGTGGCCTATTCTATGACGGGACTATAGTTAATATGGGGGGAAAGGGATTGTTAGCAATGGAGTTTGACAGCCCCATTGCTAGCAATATGCTCTATTAGGTTGACCTCCACATGGTTCCTCCTAGAAACCATTGTGAACAATTCTTGTTGAATTCGTTACGATAGGCTAACTGACCTGTTTCATCCTCACCTATCATCCCTCACTGGTGCCCCGCCGGTGTATACCAATAGAGCAGGCGGGGTTACCATTTCATTATCATCTATTAAAAAAAAAATTATCAGTTACCACTTTCCATTTGTTGGTTCGTTTGACACTTTCAAAACTATATAAAAAAACAATATTGTTAACCTTATATCTGCGATGTGATGTCAAACGATCTTTTTAACCATAGACAAATTTTTTACATCAAAAAAAAAAAGAAACTAAAATGACTGTTCAAAATTGGAGTCCAATCGCGCTGCTGTTGGACAAAAAAGTGTTATGAGTTTTTACTTAATCGAGTTAACATTGTAACAAATGATTGGTGGTGGCTCCTGGACTATTTTTAGGGTTCCTTTTGAATAATTTTAAATTAAAAAAAAACACTATATAATTTTCTAGCGTAATATTAACTGAATATAGACCTGTTTACTTATTAGATAAGAACTATGCCACCGCAAAAGCAAATAAAGCGTTCTATTGTAGTCTATACCATCTTACTCCATTCTATTTCAGTCTATTCTATCCTATTTCATTCTGTTCCTTCCTATTCCATTCTGTTCCATTTTATTTCATCCTATTCCACCCCATTCCATTCAATAGAATACTATTCCAGTTTACTCCATTCTATTCTAGTGTATCCCATTCTATTCCAGTCTATTCCTTTCTATTCCAGTCTATTCCATTCTGTTCCAGTTTATCTTATTCTATTCCAGTCTATTCCATTTTGTTCCAGCCTATCCCATTTTATTCCATTCCATTCTACTTCGTTCTACTCAATTCTTGTCTTGAAAAGATTGCTCTCAGCAATAAGACCGCCTCACTGTACTTATACAACTGTATCGTTGTGTTTGTAAATTATCTTGCTTATTCCCTATATTGTATAATGCAAATAAAGTGTACACATTCATTCATTCATTCTACTTCAGTCTATTCCATTATATTCTATCGAATTAGCGACGTAATTGCGTTACATAAATGCAAAAAAATAAATGTATTTCAGTCAGAACCTTCTTAATTTAATAGTCGACAAAAAAGCAAATGAATCTATATTATATATTACTAGCTTTTAAACGTACAGATAAACAGACATACAGACAAAAATTCTAATCATTATTTTGTGTTCTATTGTGTTCATAAAGCCCCCCTATAATAGTTTTTCTTATATATCTTCCATGTACAGACAGCAACCAGTTACAATTTTAATATATTTATTGCATGATGATTGATTTATTATTTTTATAACATTTATTATAAGGGCCTGTACGGAACTCGCTCGCTAAATGCAGTTTGCACTTACCTCTTCAATACCATCGACATTTGGAGACAGTTTTTGTGGGGGAAAAAACGTTAAACGCTCGACTCGATCGGGTAGTTAATTTGATGTTTTGACGACTCGTAGTAATAGGTTGCCAGGTTTTTTTTTTTTTTTTACAGTTATAGATTTCTTTAATAAAACAACTAACTGCATTTCACCAGAGGGAAGACTTTGTACAAAAGTCATTTGCTTGGGCACCTCTGGTCCATTCGTGTTTCAATAGTGAAGCGGTTGTGTTTGCATGGCTGTGTTTCGGTTTGAAGGGTGGGATATGGCAGTGAATTTACTGGGTACAGAGGAATAACACCTGAGTCCTCAGGAATGGCAACGTATGGGGGGTATCATAGGCGAAACAGTATACTCTATTATGTTCATGGTACTGGGGGTCTACCATGAAATGAAATTCCGAATTTTCGCACTCCATTTCGTGTTTCTGTTCGTATCGAAATCGACCCAGTAAATGGAGTTTAACATTTCGTTCATCATAAATCCTATCATAAAAGTTCAAAGGAACGATGTTTTAGCATTTTTAATATTTTTAAACGGTACGTATCATGTAATTTTCGCATCAAATTTTTGTTTCGTTCGGATCCGAAATTTCGGAAAACATTTCATGGTAGGCTCTCTGATCATGTCTATAGGCGACGGTTACTACTTTCCATCAGGTGGGCCGTCAGTTTGTTTGCCATTCTAGGTTGTATAAAAAAAATCTATTATTCTCATATAAATCTTGGACGGTACAGTAAACTTGACTATATCATATTTTACTTGCAAATAATCCAATTAAATTAATTTCATTGCTTTGTTAATTGCAGTGATATAAAACCTGTTGACGTGGTCATGAATTACAAAATAGTTAGGTACATTTGTGTTTCCGTCGGTCGTGTTTTTACGTACGTAACAAATTGCGAATGATAAACATCTGCGGGTCTACCATGAAATGTTTTCCGAAATTTCGGACTCGAACGAAACACAAATTTTATATTAAAATTACATGATACTATGTACTGTTTAAAAATATTAATAATACTATAATATCGTTCCTTTTCGAGTTTTATATTAAGATTTATGACGAACGAAATGTTAAGCTCCATTAACTAGGTTAATTTCGTTATGAACAAAAACACGAAATTGTTTATAGCAATGTGAATTTTTGTTTATAGCAAAATCGGACCAATAAATGGAGTTTAACATTACCTTCGTCATACATCCTATCATAAAAGTCCAAAGGAACAATATTTTAACATTAATATTTCCAAACTGTTTAATGTTTATAATATTTTTATGTTTTTGGTGCAATAAAGAGATAAATAAATAAATAAATTAGATATTGATGCATACTTAAAAAAAAAGAAATAAATATATGATTAATATAATATTTTAAATTATTATTTATTTATTTAATGTAAATCGAAATTATTGCAAGACAAATCAATTTAAAAACGAACAATTATATTGCAAAATATAATTAAATATAATATGGCGACTGAATTGACAATTAATGCATGAATCTACATATAATATAAAAATGAATCACTGAATGTGATGCTGGGTGCAAATCTCGAGAATAGCTGAACCGATTTCGCTGATTTTTTTTAGAATATTCCTTGAACTACAAGGATGGTTCTTACGGGGAGAAAAGTTTAAAACATTGTCTGAAAAAGTATAAAAACAACACTTTACAACACAAAAACAACACCAGAGATATAAGTAAGAGATATAAGTAGATACATTTCATTTAATTTTGTACTGTCTATTTTGATGTAAAAAAACTATGTTTGCTAGGTGGCTATTGTCAGTTATTTGTTTTACAGAATTGTTTTTGTTTATACAAATTAGAATGGCAAACAAGCTGACAGTCCACCTGATGGAAAGTAGTAACCGTCGCCTATACACATAAGCATTATCATGGACATAACAGAGTATACTGTTTCACCCATGATACCCCCCATGCATTGCCATTCCTGAGGACTCGGGTGTTATTCCTCTGTACCCTGTAAATTCACGCCATATCCCACCCTTCAAACCGAAACACAGTCATGCAAACACGACTGCTTCACGGTTGAAACACGAATGGGACAGAGGTACCTACGTAGAGTTCCTACTAAAACACCATCGCGGTTAACTCTTGTTGAATTCGTCACGATGGTCTAACTGACCTGCTTTCATCCTCACCTATCATCCTTCACTTGTGCCCCGTCAGCGTATACCGCTGCAAGCGCGGTTACCATTCCTTCTTCACCTATAAAAAATTAACCCAGTGCTTGTAATCTAACAGTGGCATACCCGTCAGGTTGAACTCCATCTGAACCCCAAAGAAACCATCGTGGTAAATTTTTTAAATAACGTGTATTTAAACGTAACGTAATATATATTTTATTTATTTTGTAAATTTTAG